CGCGGCCGCCCCGCCTCCAAGCCCCTCCCCTCGCCTCCAGGAGCACGAGCAGCCAGGCAGTCGGGCCGAGGCGGAGGGCGGGGAGGAGGGGAGGAGGCGGAGGAGGCGGAGAGGGCGGAGGCAGAGGAGGCGGAGCTGGGGAGGGCGAGGAGGAGGAGGAGGAGGAGGAGGAGGAGGAGGAGGAGGAGGAGGAGGAGGAGGAGGAGGAGGAGGAGGAGGATGGATGGATGGATGGATGGACTCGGCATTGCGCCGTGAGTCTGAAGACACTCACCCCTCGAGCTCACGAAACGAGAGATCGCTCGGGGACACCTCTGAGCAGTCGTGCGATCTCCTCGGACCGAACGAGGTCAGGCGTGTGGGCGCGCCGTGCAGCTGTGATCACCTTTGATCAGAGCCGAGCAGGACAGGAAACAAGAAGGCGCCCGCGGGCGGGGGGTGATACCCCTCTGGCCCCTGGGGGCCGAACTCGACGGCGCGGAGAGCACCGAGCAGGCTCCCTGGACACCCAGAGGCCCCGAGAAGGGAAAAAAAAAACAGGCCGAAAAAAAGAGCCGACGGCGCGCCCAAGAGACCAGGGGCGGCGAGAGCGACTAGAGGGGCCTGGTGCTACAGCGAAGCTGCTGGAGGGACTCACGTCGTCACGTAGTGTGCTGGTCGCCCATCTCTTTCCGTAGGATCCGCCACCCATGTCAGCCCTTCTGGCCGTAGTGGATCTGGCGGTTCTTGTCTAGCAGTTTCTGGGCCATCGATTCCAGGTGGCCCACAAGTCGGGCTCGAGCAGGGACGGGGGGCCGAGAAACGTCTCGTCCACGGAGTCGCCGAGATGAGGTCCGCCCCGCTGAAAGGCGTGCGTCGACTGCCCACAGACTCCGGCGTGGTGCGTGCCCACGAGAACATAGCCTGAGTCACCTGGCGGTATGAATTGCGGCTGGAGCAGGACTCGGAAGGCACGGAAAAATGCCGAACCATGAGGAGCACGTCCGAGGAGCGGCACTGTCGCGCCGCAGCGGCCCGAGAGCGCCGCGGGCGGAGGGTAGATCCGACGTAGGTGTGCCTGCGGAAACCGCTTATGTAGGAAGATGCTCCCCCCGCAACTCTTGTTGGTCCAGCCGAAGGAGAGCTCCCACTGGTAGTCGTGCTGAAAGAGGCTGTGGCGGCCGTCCAGTGTCGGGCGGCGGCTCGTCCCAGGGAAGAGGATCACGCCCATGTAGTGCTCGCAGGTGATCTCCTGCGCGCGGGTGCTGCCCGTCAGGTAGAGAGGGTAGTACACGTAGAGCCTGGTGTGCTGAGCAGGTTGAGGCTCTCGCTCCTGAGTGCGTTCTGGGGCGCGGCAAGCGCCTGTCGACATGTAGGCGGCCGCCCGCGGCGAGAAGCCGACGGCCGCGAGCAATAGGAGAGCCTCCATCATGGGCCTCTTGGGTCCCGCGGGCGCGTGGGCATCGCGCGCTGCTCCCCTGGCGGGCGATGGAACGGGGTGGGAGGGCCGCGTGTCCCTCGACCTTCAGCCGTGGTGGCGGCTAGGAGGAGGAGGAGGAAGAGGAGGACGAGGAGGAAGAGGAGGAGGAGGCAGGTGGGGCAATGCCTCACCCCCGCGGACCTCTTTGAATCCCCCAGGCCCCCCCCCCCCCTCGGCCCCTCGGCCCGCCTGCTCTCCCCGCCCCGTCCCCTCGTGGTCCGCTCGGGGGGGGTCAGCGCGACGGCCCGCGGCCGTCACCTGCGCGCCCTGCTTGCTCCTCCTCTTTGAAGGGGCCCTGGGACACACACATAAATACACACAACTAACAGGATTCCCAATAGTTTCCAATATTTCCTGGGTTTTTGTCTTCCCCCCCACTTCCCACGCTTTCCCATATTTTCTGGGGAATCGACGATTAATTGTGTCTGTGTGTTTTTTCCTTCCTGACTTTTGCTTCTTCGGTCCCTCAGATCGCTCTCTTTTCGGCCCCCGTCGTGTCGTCCTTCCTGTTCCTCCCGTCGTCCCGTTCGCCGGGCCAACCACGATCGGGTCGTTTTCCCACAATGTCCCACCCTCTGCGCGCCAGACGGCAGGGCAAAGGGAGGGGGAGGGGGGCGCTGGCTGCACCTGACCTCAGGACAAAGGCCACCAGCCACGAGCAAGAGGAGGAAGAGGACCAGTGTAACCCCGAGGCGCATCAACGATGCTGCGATCAACACTCCCTCCAATTTTCCGACCCATAAAGGCCAACAATAATGTGTTATCGATGCAGGAAGTCCCCCATTGGAAGACAACCGTCTGAGAATTTTTCACCGTGCCAGAACACCATTCATGGGATCCCATCGCCACGAATCAACGTTCAACGTTGCTGACGCGTCTGGACATCCTTAAATCGTGCCAGAACGCCGTTCCTGGCACTCCCACCATACGGCTCTTTGAAACTGTTGCGAATTCTGTTCGCGGCGCTGAAGCAAGAACCACATTGTGAAACTAGACCGCCCTCCACCCGTGAAATTCATGCAAACCTTCACGACGAATGTT